GATGTTTAGTAACTGCTTAAACAATCACTAAACAGACACTAAAACAGTTAAGAGCCAATTGTTGGTTTTGTGTGTATGTGGTTTTTGAGGTCACTCATTAGGAATTTGGTATCCATTTTTCTAAAAACAAAATGGCTGATCTAATATGGCGGACATTTGTCGTTCAGCTTTAACGATTTGGATGAAATTTTGTATAAAGATATTTTTCGGGTAGCTGATAATGAGTTTTATATAATTTTTTTTTAACAAAATTGCGGATTCAAAATGGCAGATATCTGTGCGCAATAAATACTAGATGACCGTACCTATAGGTACGGTAATCTAGTAACTACTGCGCATAGTACAGTCATCTGGCATATATGCGCAGTGGTTACCAGATGACTGTACCTATGCGCAGTAGTTACTAGATTACCGTACCTATGCGGCGCATAGTATGCGCAGTAGTATGGTGCACTTTCGGCGTAAAAAGTTTTCTTTTACACAATTTTTTTTATTTCGTGTTTAAATTTCAACAGAAAAAAGTTTTGTACCAATTTTATCCAAAATATTTTTTTGTGTTTTAATTTTATAGCTACTTCGAGAGAAGAGTATTCTCGTCGAGACGTGGACCCATTTTCTCTCCCTGTACGAGACGAGACAAAAGAAACACTTCTCTTTTTTTCTCGTTTCTCGACATCACTACGCAACGTCAACAAAAATTAAGTCTAATTATCGGCGCACCAGACCCGTTTTTTGTTTTTTTTACTTTAGCGGTGTTTTTATGTCGGTTTTTATTCTGGCGACTGTTTAACTAAAATAAAAATGAATTAGTCCAAAGAAAAAAAATTCGACTATTTTTCAGTTGGTCCCATTTTTGACACTTTTTGGAGGGTAGGGAAGTTATTATCAGAGATAAGAGTTTTGCGGTTTTTACTTCAATGTCCTATTTTTTTCACGAAACAAAAGATCCCGGTGTCAAATTTGCCATAGCCTTCTTAATTCGTATTCTACAGAGTAATACTAAAAATTACCATTGGTATGGAATGTGCGCAGAGAATTAAAAAAAAGTTTCATGGCTTGTAAAATCCTCATATATTTTTGAGAGGTTCTGACACTGATTTTCTTTCGTTTAAAGAAAGGTTTTTGAAAAAAATCAACATGCTTCTTCTAATTAATAGCCGTGAATATTTTTTTTTAAACACCAAAAACAAATAAACAGGACATTTCGATAATTAGAATTAATTACTAAATGACGACATAAAAAAATGAGCTGCAAAAAAAAGTACCCACCTACATTTGACACCAAGTTATGATTTCTATTTACGTCGATTTATTTATTTTTTTATTAGAAAATGGAAGTTCCTCAGGAAGTTTACGAATCGAGTAGTGAAATACAAAATTCCAAAGTTAAAAGATCAAAATGTAAAACTATAACAATTTTTAAGGCATGATTTTAAGGAAACGGTTCATCTGACAGAAAATTTCGTTTTTACCTTTTTTGTAGAGCATTCAATTTTTTTCAAAAAATATTTTCGAGTAAATTTTGATAAACTCAAAGGTTTGGGTTGCGAGTTCTGGGACAAAAACTTGCTGAGGAAAAAAAAAATTAAAACTGCGATGATAGACCTCTTAATATTAATATTATGGACTCAAATTTTCACAATATTTTTTTGGCCCAGTCTAATGTAGCCCCTATTCAATTTTAAAAATATTCATTTTTTGTTCCACCCTTATGTTTACTTTTATAAAACTACTTAAAAGGTTTAAATTAAAATAATAAAAATATTTAAACAGTATAATGGTTTTTCTAGACTTGCTAACTGACTTTTTCCTTCCTTTTTTTGCTTTAGTGAGTTTAAGAAACTCAATACCTTTATGCTTAAAAAATAAGGTAGGTAGATTTTGTACAATTAGAGGGGATTGTCCTCGGGATTGTCCATGTCACATTATAACATCTTGCGACATGGACGTCAATAGACTCTTTTTGCACAAATTAACTACCGAATCAAGCTAGCAATCATGTCTACAATTCAACCCTACCCAACGGAAATCGTCTCACAATCCCATTGCAGCCCTGCAATCACTAATTTCATGTCGCAATCCTCCAAAATCCCAACAATTTATAAAGAATTCTCCGAAATCACCGCAATCATTCCGAAATCATGGGATTTCGGTCGCAATCCTCCGAAATCGCAACAATTTATAAAGAATTCTCCGCAATCATTCCGAAATCATGGGATTTCGGTCGCAATCCTCCGAAATCGCAACAATTTATAAAGATTTCTCCGAAATCACCGCAATCATTCCGAAATCATGGGATTTCCGCAATACGTGTACATATTTTTTGGAGGTGGTTTCCCCCTCGTAAAACTCTTAACTCGACTCGTAACTAAAATGAAATTTACGAGAATTTATTTATAAAGTTTTATAAAACTTGATACGTAATATACTATTATCTACTCGTACATTGACGAGCTGTGGCGTTTTAGGTACGGGCTGAAGTTAGCAACAGTGGCATTTTAGTCACGGGCTGAAATTGTCTTTATTATAAATTAGGAAAAAGTGAGGTTAAATCCGTTAAAAGTGGACAGATCGTCACCTGAGTATTGATTTGTTCTATGTCCAATATCCAATATGTCCAATGTCCAATGTCCAATGTCCAATATGTTATAATCGAGATAAACAGGTTTAAAACTTTTACATTAAATATCTTATTTGTTTTTTAATGAAAACTTAATTAAACATTAATAACAATATTCTTGTTTGGCCTTTAATTAGTTAGTATATTGAGCAACTCTTATCTCAAATTTGGATTTATGCCTCAATATTGGAAAAAAACGTTTTGGAGATAAAACAAAAAGTGCTATTTTTGGATTTTAGAAACAAAATGTTGGACATATAACAAAGTTTTAGGACATAAAACAAAACTGAATTAAAAAACACTTTATTTAATAATGATTTACTTTAATAATATTAATTATAATTATTGTCAAAATACAATGTCATTTACATGTAAATATTTGAAAAAAACGTGTACTGGCTAAAGTGGATATAGAACAAAACAATTTTAAACTCATAAGGAAGCTTTCCTTGGAGATAGCACAAAACAGTTATAAAATTGATATAGCACAAACAAATACTAATTATTTTCAGATTTTTACAAACACATGGAGCAAAAGAAAGCCTGTAAGCGAAATTTTGGAGATAGAGTAAACCAATTTTAAACCCTTTATACTAAACTCGGATTTAGACTAACCTAAACTAAAAACTGACACAATTATATCAAAAAACTATTATGGAGATTAGGGATGCACCGGATCGGGTATTTTGCCGATCCGGCCGGAACCGGAATTTTGGCCGCTGGCCGGACCGGATCGCCGGAATTCCGGCCGGATCGGGACCTAAATTTAAAATGTATGTGCATGCCTATTTTTATACGTAAAACATTGAAAATATTGAGGCTGATTTATTTTTACTTTTTTTTAAACTAGCTACAGTATGTATGTTTATTACTATTAATTTTACCTAGATAGAAATTACTGTTTATTTAAATATTAATTTTTAATTAGCGTTAACAAAATTAAAACAATTATACTCATTCAATTGGAGAATAGCAGCCACCTGCCAATAATAAAAAAATTAAAAAGAAGTCGGGGAACCACAGCCGCCGGTCTATCATAGGCAAGGAAACACGCACACCCTTCACTGTTGACCAATTACAAAATATATCTGGTCGAAAGTCGGGGCATCCCAGACGCGAAAGTCGGGGAATCACAGTTCCTCACTCTAATTTTTCATGTAAACTGTATACTTATCTTACATATAAGACTTATCCATGACAGGGAATTTGGCTGTTATTTTTGCTGTTAGAATTTGGCTGTTAATAATGTTTTCAGTTATTATTTATGTTTTGTAATTCTTGGAAAGAAAATATATTTTGTTCAAAAAAAAATTATTTGTGATTAATTAACGACTTAACAATAGGTAAGTAGGCACCAATTTAAAAAAGCCTTAAAATAATTTTCTTTATTTTTGCATATATTTTAATTTAAATTATATTAAAAATTTTAAACTTAAACATTTCCAAAAAGTTCAGAAAAATCCGGCCGGAAAGCGATCCGGCCGAAGCGATCCGGCCGGAACGGAAGTTCCGGCCAACTGGCCGGATCGGCCGGATTTAGTGGTACCGCCGGAATTCCGGTGCATCCCTAATGGAGATAGAACAAACCAACTTCAACTTTCCGAAAATGCGTAAACCTCAAAATGGTAAAAAATGGAGATAGCACAAACCAATACTCAGGTGACGAGATGTCAAATAAAATTGGCTTTTAAAAATATGTTATTTACCCTCGTATTTACCTTTTAAAATAAATGTATTAATAGTTTAAATTAGTAGGTATATTATGCAAGGACCATTTAATGATGGTTATTAAGACACTACACTAAGTATTTTTTCTACGACTAACATAACTGTGAAATGTTTCCTCGAATGTTTCGTACCATTTTAAGGGTAATAAGTTGTTTGCGGCTTTTGCCTGCTACAATTTTTGTTTTGCACATTCTAACTTCAAAAAATCCAAAGTTTTGTTCTATGTAAGTAAACAGTACGTAACTTGTCAAAATTAATAAATATTAGATCTGTCAGATGCTTAAGATGGTAGTTGCATAATATACCTAGTACTTTGAACTATTAATACATTTATAACGGAAATGACATGTTTTTAATTATTTTAAATTTGGTCAAAATGAGATCCCTAAAATGTAGGCGTAATTCCCAAATATACCGTTGGGTTGGGAATTTATAAAAATTTGTCAAGTCCCTATAATTATTCTTAGGCTTAATTCTCAAAACTCTTCTGGAATGTGAATTTGACAAAATTATGTTTTTCCTACACCAGTAAATGGCAAACACTTCTTTAGTCCTTAGAATCACTTTTGTAAAAAAAATCCCGACTTAAAATGTAATATTCCCACCATTCAAACACAAACCCAAAAAAACTCATAAAATATTTTAATCTTACCTCGTCTTTTCCTCCTAGTTCGAGCCCCGAACGGTCTATATTTGCACTTTTTCCTGGCCAACATCCACGTCCAGTCACCACCGCACTCGAGCACGTGCCTGTGCAACTCGCCCAGAGCGTTGCACTGTTTACCGCACTTGGTACACAATCGCGCGTCACTTCTTTTCCACACTCTGCACGGAACACAGTCTTCCACAACACCCACTTTTCCCAAGCCCGGAATGCTCAGATGCCGGTACAGCTCGTTCTGCTTGCCCACGAACTCGTAATGCTGCACCCACACGTTCTGATGGTAAACCGTCTTGTGTTCGAGAAGTTGCTTCATGTTGGGGATCTTTTTACCGCACGCGGCACATATGTACATCCTGGTTCGCGCCCATTCGCCGGTCAACTCCACCTGTTCGTTTAGCTCGCGAACACTATTCGTTGGCAGTTCAAAGTTTTCCGTTTCCTGCGAAGAACAGATCAAAGCGATTTTATCCGATTTGTCAATGTCACCTTCCACAGGCAGCGTGCACGTTCTCCGAAGGTTTAAGTAGCTGGGAAGTTCACGTTCTTGCGGCTGTTCTATTATTTCTGGCTCAAGTTTCGGTAAGGGTTCCTCGCAAATATCGTGCACTCGCTTGAGGATTTCGTTTAAAACTTCTCTTACCTCAGAAAACGTTTCTTGGCTTATTTTTTGGGAAGAATGAGAGTTTAGTTTGTCTAAAGCTGCTTGTTTGGAAGCTTCTTCTTTTAAATCTTCGAAGGGACCTCGTCTATCCAATATCCGGTTGAGTTCCTCTTTTCTCGTCTTATTTTTATATTCATCGCCACTTGTATATTCAAGAATCTCCTTGGCGCTCTTATGGTCGTCCACTATTCTTTGCTGTCTATTTTTAATAACCAGTTGGGTCCACATGTCCAACTTGCTAAGATCCCTGTTCTCTTTATGTTCAAGTATGCTAGCTTGATATTTACGCCTGGTGAAATATTTATAGTGGACCTCATCCTTGCTCTTCGTTTGGTTTTTCTTTTTGGATGGTTTCGAGCCGTATTCTATTTGCGATTCAAAATCTTCTCCATATTGCGAATTTAGCGAGAGAGCTGCCACAGGCGTGACGGCATTTATGGATAATTCACAACCATAGCTTTCCGAATTTGAATTTTGTACTTCCTGTTGAACGTTTGGAGTCTTCTCAAAGTTGGAAATCCTACTCTCAGACTCCTCGTTCTTGAATAATTTACCATCAATGTGATGTAATAGATTTTCCTGTATATTGCACTTAATTCTGTTAAAGAATGCCTTGTCGAACACATCATCGAACGTTAAGGAACTAATTTTTAAATTGTCAATGGAATGATCTGTGATTTTTTTCACGCGATAAAAACTGTCGAATTCCGGGTAAGGATTGACGCAGTTAAACGTGGACTTGCCAGGTTTCTCGTTAGGTTTGGTGTTGCTGGAAGTGCCTTCGACAGTTTTACCATTATTGGGCTGCCGCGATCGTTTTAATTTCGTGTTTTCAATCGGATCCTTCGCTTGTAGCCTCTTGCTTCGTTTTAATGCGATTTTGGAGGTTTTTACAGACAGCTTTTTGCCGCGGAGATCCTTTGACTTGTCTGATTTTTTCCCACCAGAAGGTGGTTTTTTGGGTTCAGCTGAGCTTTCGGATAGCTTCAGCCGACTCCTGGTAACCTTTTGGGGCGTATCTTCGGCCGATTCCTCAACAGCGGGCATCTCTTTCCTGCCGGTCGGGGTTTCGGGTGGCGTGACGACGGTCTTGTTGGGGTGGTTGGAAGCATTGTGTTCTGTCAGCTGCGCGGGCGAAAGAAAACGTTCTTCGCAGGGCGAACACGCGTAATATTTGTTTGAATGTTCAGTGGTCAAGTGCTGAAAGAGATCTTTGAGAGTGTGCTCGGTATTGTTGAGCTTATCACAGTGTACGCAGGGTGTTGCTGTCAGCATCTGTCGGGGCGACACGCGGCGCGTCTGTTTAGCCGAATGACACCTTTCGACGTGCTTCTGTCTCAAATTGGCGCTAACGAACGTGCGATCGCAATAAAGGCAGAGCAGCTTTCGCGACGGATTCGGTTTCATTTTCGCGTCCGCCGCGGCGTTGTCCGTTGTCGTCGACAACAACGAGACACTGCTGCAACACACACTCCGATCGTCCGCCGCATCGTCTTCGAAGACTTGGGTGGTTTCGAGGGCTAAAGAAGAGACCTCGGCGTCGGCAGCAGCGTCTGCGGCTGCGGCTGCGGTGGACATTTTCGGTTCGATAGCGGAGGGCAGAACGGCAGCATCAGCTGTTCGCTTCGAGTCCGCCTTACACTGGGCGATGGCAGTCGTTGTAACGGGACTCGGCGGATCATCGCGGATGCCGTTGGCTTGGGGCTGCGTGATAGCGGCTTTTTCATTTCGATCTTTGTAGGAACCACTATTCACCATGCTGCCTTCTTGTATATGTTGCCTCTTCCACCGCACGTTTAAGCCTGGAACTGGGATAGAAAACACGGCGTCAGTATTTTTCAATTTGTTATCTCGCTTTCGCTACACTCTACGCTACTCGTCGTTGTTTGATTCGGGAACTATTGTGGCGTAATAAAGCCGCCATAGTGCATGCAATTAAACGCTATAAGGATTTACAATGAGTTATGTTACAGGCGTCGATCATTCTCATTTCGAACGACGAGAAATGGCGCTTTTATATCGATTTCCACAAAGTATCCCAAATCAAACGAAAACAACACTTATATACGAACCATACAGTATAAACAAAAACCAGTTTTAATTTTACGCTTGCAAATTAAGCAATACGATTTAAAAAAGAAAATACTTAACACGTTCTTTATTTCTTATCTGGTCGTAATATAAATACCAATAGAAATTAATTTGGACTTTGTAATGACAATAAAGCTAACAATAGTACATGTTTTTGTTTATGCTTAGATAAACACTACTATTGTATAATAGATAAAAGTTAATATCAAAGCTTGATAAAACCCCCCAAAAATTTTATGTAATTTCTTATCAAATAAAATGTCAGGTACCTGACCGTTTCTTATAAAACTTTGTGCTTGCAAACTTTTTCTCTTTCTACGAGTACGTTGATAAATGTGGCGGCAGGATGTAACCTGCATAATTCGTAAAACTCTTAGGCGCTTAAAAGACGATTATAAAAAGTGGGCAATTACATAAACAATGATCCGGCTGGTCATTATGTTCACCTACATGTATACGTATGCATGTATAGTGTTTAATTCGCATGGTTTCGTTAAATGGAAAAGGGCTGCAATAAAACCAGCGAACAACGAACGATACCCCGTAATGTCGCTTTGTTTAATGGGGCGTGGTGCAGAAATACGTTAATATACAGTTATGCTTAAAAATAAGATACCTACGGACATTTAAGAATTTTATTCTATAACTAGCTGTTTGGTAGCTCTTTAAATTTTAATATAATTTTGGTGAACTACGAAAATCATTATTTCTATTTTAAAAAAAGTACCTACCAGTACTTAAAAATAAAATACAAGATATAAAGAATTTAAATTTTAATACTAACCATAATAAAAATTGTCTTATTTTTCTTTGTTTATAAATAATTTACCGTAACACCAATTCATTGGCTGGTCGAAAAAATAATACTTTTTGTTTGCCACAGGGTGGAGAATAAGTTTTCTAGACTAATTTGGGTGCGCTGATTCCAATAATTACGATCTCATTTTGCTGAATTAGCTCTTGTTTTAAGATATTGTCTTTTTTTCGACATGCACACATTAAAATTCTTATATATTCTTTCTTAATATCTTAAATATAGTTTGTCCAATTTTGTTGAAATTTGGCATTTTTATTTATACGTTTTTACAAAATATGAGTTTTGCCAATTTTCATGCAATAATATGGTTTTCATTTTTTCTGTCGAAAACGAGGTAAGATACGAAAACAACTCAAGAGACAAAAAAGTTGTATTTTTATTGGCTTAATCATAAAAAAAATATAAAAATCTTATAACAATATAATATTAACATTATTATCCTCAACGCAGCCTAGAAGTTATTTATTATTGTATTAGTACAATACTGCCATACAGCCATTCCACGCTACTCGGGAATTTTTATAGCGTACGTTACAATAAAAAATTGTGAGTAAAAGCTACCGTAATTAAATTAAATACTATTATAATAGTTACTATTGCAAACATGTTTATTATGCTTGTAATAATTAGGCTTAAGCTTATAAGCATCATAATTACGGTAGTTTTACACAAATTTTTTTATTGTAACGGACGCTACAAAAATTCCCGAGTAACGTGGAATGGCTGCCTAGTATGGAGAAAGGCAGTAACTGCTAAACAAGAAATTTGTGGAAAATTATCATAAACTACATTTTTATAAAGTGCAGTAGGTATTTCATTGATTTTTTTAACTTATGAGATATTTGACTGCATTTCTGTGTTGAATTCGGTTACAAAATATCCATAGCTTTACCATAGCATGCTTGTGCTTGTGCTTGTGCACAAGAAAACGCATTTTGCATTTTTTTGCAGTTACTGCCTTTCTCCATAGTAGGGCAGAATAGTAACTTTATTTTCCTAGTATTGTATACAATAATGACTCATTATTAATGAGATACATAAGCGTAGACAATAAATAGATAACAATTTATTTTGTTTACCCTATTTCATTCATATTATGATAATATTATTATCTCCGCCTATGCCTTTGGAGAAAGCATCTGTCATTGACAGACTGACATTAATGTTAATTAACAGACTCATATTAAGTTAATGCTTTTTTAGTTTTTGTTTGTTATACGGATGAAAAGGTGTTTTTTTTTGCTTCGCTGTTGCATTGCCTCAGCGCAAAACGCCTTGGCTGCAATCTTGAGCTCAGCACAAAAAGACTCTCTTCTCTTCCGAATGACATAATCTACTATTATATGTAGAAACAAATGTTATTAAATAATTGTATCTTCAAGCGTAATTTAAACTTTATTATTTTCTACTGAAGTGATTGACGATAGGGTGTAAAATAAATTTTAACCAATCGGGTTTTTTACCTCCTATAGGGGTCTGTAAAAAACTATGTTTGGCCAATACAAAAATTCGACATTTCTATCTAACCCCACTTTCTATTTTAAATAATTAATCTTATAATTCTACGTTTTATGAATCGTTTAACAAATAAAATTGTGCCTTGAAGATAAAACATTATCTGCCATTCGGCTGAGAAGAGTCTTTTTGTGCTTCACTAACTTTTTGCTCAAAATTTCAGCTCAGCACAAAAATACTTACTTTTCAGCCTTATGACATAAATAACTATTATCTACTCCCTCATTGATAAAAACTGTGACTTTATCGTAGTCACGGGCTTAAGTTAGCTTTATTATAAATTTGGAAAAATTCCAATTCCATTTTGAACTTAGATCAATTATTAATTCTCTAAAAATTCTAATACTGCTCACGTCTGAACCTGTCTGTAATAAAACAAGTTAGGGATATTAGTATATCACCATTCTGAGATAATAAGTTTTCCCAGGTCTTCTAAGGTTTCATATGTGGTTCCTATATTTAAAAACAAGGGTGATGATAACGATTTAGGAAATTATAAACCCATTCCCATTCCGTCAATTCTATCTAATAGTATATTATGTCTCAAGTTTATAGAACGCCATCTCTAAAACAATGGGGGAATCTGTGTTACCGTCAAATATCAAATTTGTATGCGTTATAAACACAGATTATAAAGGTTATAAATATAAATGTATTCCTTGAAAATTGATTAACAACAGTTTTTCAAAGTGAAAGTAAAGAAAATGTTTTATGAGCACTAACACGAAATTAAAAGGTCAGTTAAATGCTCATATAAACTTTTAAAATATTGGCGTTGAGAAACTATTTAATGCTTTTGTATTGCGATAAAAAAACAATTTTCACACTTGGTATTATTTTACAAGAAGGGCACTTTATTTTAACGATTTTAACTTTTGACAACTGCCAACTAGCTAACTTCAGCCCGTGACTAAAAACCTGTTGCTAACTTCAGCCATAAAGCCACAACATGTAAAATAATGGGCGTTTTAAAGGTTATTGGTTATTGTTAATAATATACTTAACAATAACCAATTTGGGTTTCGTGAAAAGCTATCTACCACAGATGCAATCTAAATATATGGATTAAACAATGGACAAGATTCTTTAAAAAATACTTACTAAATACAATTCCTCTGAGCTAAGTATAGATTTAATAAATTCATATCTTTCAAACAGATACCAGTCAGTCCGGCTTGGGGACAAACTTGAAGTTGGAGTACTAAAGGGATCTACCTTGGGTCCCTTATCTTTATAAATGATCTCCCTTTAGGACAAGATATGACACGACTCTCTCGGTAAAGGATATTGATCCAACAGTGCTTAGTCAAAAAACAAAAAACATTCAAGATTTGCCTGAAAAATGGTTTACTAACAATTGCCTTTTTCTAAATCCAGATAAAACAAGTCAAGCTCCTAGGTGTTTTCTTAGACCCTAAGCTACAATGGACAGAACAGGGCAATTACCTCGCTAAGGTTTTGACAAAAAATGTTTACTGTCTAAGACAATTGTCACAAAACGTTTCGAGATAAATTCTTAAATCTGCATATTTTGCATTATGCCATTCCCTTATGACATATGCATTAACCGTCTGGGGGCATTCCTCAATCCGATTTAGAATGTTTAGCCTCAGTGGCGGCTCGTGGCAGTAAAATTTGTGAGATCTGCCGGTGGGGTTTAAAAAAATGTGGCGCAGTGGGCATTTAATTAAATGGTACCTACAGTTAATTAATTAAATCATAATTAAATCATACACCACATTCATTCTTACAAAAGAATACAACAACAAACACAAAAATACACCGAATTAACAGTCTTCTAGTTAAAATAACAAACGTGAACGCGAAGCGAAAAACAAACGACCGGGAAGTAGGAACTGTATGTTGGTGCAGCTCCGGTTTGGCTAAAATTTCACTATCTTAACCTAGGACCAAGAGCGGCGCGGAGCAAAATTACGGTATTGAAATGGGAGCCAGAACTCGAAAGTGGCCCAGCTTTGTTGTATTGTAAGCGTTCAGCGTTAGAGACCTTTACCGGTCGTTTGGATGACTGTAGTGGCCAAGTACGGCGAATGTTTATAATAAAAACTTTTTATGCAGCCATGCGTTTGAAATATTCATACACTGTCGCACTTAAATATTAAATAATTAAAAAATTAGTCAAGTTATAAGATAATTTTGGGAGTTCTGCAGCTCTGCAGCCCTTATGCACTAGCCGCCCCTGTTTAGCCTACAAAGAAAAGCTATAAGAATCGTGACAAGAGCGAGTTATAGACAAGAAACAAGAGATCTTTAAAAAATTATCATTACTTACACTGCCTTGTGCTCACTCGCTAAAGTACTACTACTTATAAGTAGTACTCAACCCATAAAAATATTCAGATATATAAAACTCGCCACAAAAAT